TGATGATGATGATGATGATGATGTTAATATTGAATGTCAACATAACTATGTGTGTGTATGTGTACGTGTACGTGTACGTGTACGTGCACGTGCACGTGCACGTGCACGTGTATGTGTATGTGTATGTGTATGTGTGCGTGTATGTCTGTATTGTAGTACTGTATGTGTATGTGTATAGGCAAGGTGTTGTTGGGTATGCTTCTTCAGGGTTTAGGATTCTAGGGTTGTTTTGTTTTGCTTGCCTCCTATGGTGGCGAGCGTTGGGTGTGGACATTCGGGGTTTACACTGAGGCTACAGGCTCTAGTTGCTGATGCTGATTGGGATGCTCCGAATCCCGATTTTGGTGGTGATTACAACGAACCGAAGTTTACTATAGAGGTCTGAGTAGCTGTAATGCAAATGTTAAATGCTTCAGTTGGGGCCGCTTCACTCGAAGGTGCCTTGTACTGGTCTCGAACGGCCTGCCGAGCCAAGAGGCAAAGCTTGAGCATGTCGAGCGGCATACGGCATGCCTGAGGGCGTACACATGTGGGCCACGACTCATGCTTAGGTATTGGGTCCGCACAGCAGGTGTCAGCTGAACTCGCAGCCGATCCGTCGAACAGCATCATCGCAACAGCAGCGCATGCACGCGAATACATAGACGACGCGGAAGGCTGGGTACCCATTTTCAAACGGGCAGAGTTGATGTACTTAATAAATAAGCCACCAGTGTACAGTCGCCTAAAGGGGCTAATCCCATGAACGCCGAAACCCTACAGCCCCAGAGCCGCAGCGCCCAAAACCCTACACTGAACCCTAAACACTAGACTCTAAACCCTAAATCCTGCACCCTAAAACCTAAACCCCAAACCCCCAAACCCCAAAACCCAAAACCTGCAGGTGGAGAACCTTCGAGACATTGCAATGGAGGCAGCTATTCGATGCGGAAACGAAAGAGCATGTAGCCGCCTCAGGCGGTCCAAGATCTTCCTTCTTTCTTTCTTTCTTTCTTGTGGTTTGGAGTTTAGGGTTTAGGTTTCAGGGTTAAGATTTAGAGTTCAGGTTTTAGGCCTCAGGGCTTAGGGTTCAGGGTTCAGGGTTTGGGTTTTTTCTCTCGCTTCAACTTTAAAGTCTATTCGGTTTTCTTCTGAAGGCTGTTGCTATAGTGCGCTGAGTCAGTAGTAATGCAGTCCCAAGTGTTACTCCCTCTAGAAGTCTACTACGTACAGTACCCGTAACCCCCCAAACCCCTAAACTGTAGACCCTAAACCCTGAACCCTAAGCGCAAGGGTTTCGGAGTTCGGGTGGGTTGGTTGGAGGTTGGGGGGATATAGAGGTTGTTCTATTGTTGGTACTACATGGTTCTTATAGTGCGCTTACCAAGTTCTAAAGGGTTTGGGTGTGTTTAGGGTTCAGGATCTTGGGGTTTTGGGGTTGTGGTGTCGGCTTTGGGGTTTTGGGTTTAGAGTTTGGGGGTTGTGGTGTTGGGGGTTCAGGGCATTTAGAATGTAGACCTTCATTAAGTCCAGAAACACCCTTGTTCTAAATCGCCTATTCTTAACCGGGTTCTTAGAATCCTGTAATGGAATCCTAAACCTTAAAAGCTGAATCTCAGGGACCCTTTAAAGGAACCCTGAGCCCTCAAGCATCCTAAAACCTAAACCCTAAACCTGAACTTAGGGTTCAGGGTTTCGGATTAGTGTCAACCCTGAACCCTAAACCCTAAACCCTAAACCCTAAACCCTAAACCCCTAAACCCTAAACCCTAAACCCCTAAACCCCAAGCCTAAACCTGAAGCATCCCCCAGGGCTCCTTAGCCTTCGTAGACAAGAAGCAGACCGAGGTCAGATCTTTGATGCCGAGCTGGCGCGCATCGCCGAAGCCGAAGAGGGCGCCCCGAAGGGAGCAGGCCTTTTGAAGAGCTCAGGTTTCGGGTTTGCGTTTTCCTTTGTTGGTTTGGTTTGGGGTTTAGGGTTTAGGGTTTAGGGGCTTGAGAGGATCTACTTATTCATTAATATTTTGCAGAGGCTTTCAAGGGCCAACCCAGATTAGGTTTCCTTAGAGGGTTCTGTGACTGCCTTATGGCTTCTTTAAGAGGTCCTTAGCGGGATTAGGGGCTCAGGGATTAGGGTTACATAGGGTGCTTACCTGGACCCTGAAGAGCCTCCAGCTTTAAGGACTTATGAAGGGAAATCGTTGTAACTCGCCCTTTGGTGTCCAGGTAAGGTTTTTGGGGTTGGAATTTGCGGATTTCGGGGTTGAGGCATTTATGCTTTGTAACCCTAAACCCTAAAACCCGAAGCCCTACATCCTGAACCCGAAACCCTAAACCCTGAAACCCTAAACCCCCCCAACGCCTAAACTTTAGGGGATTTAGGGTTGAGGGTATAGGTTTAGGGTTTAGGGTTTAGGGTTTAGGGTTTAGGGTTTAGCGGTTTTGGAGTTTAGGCTTTTGGGTTGAGGGGTTTAGGGTTCCGGGAACCTAAAACCCTAGCCCTCAGCCTTGCAAAGAACTATAAAGTTAATACCGGGCCCGAAATATCATTCAGAAATACTAACTAGCGCATCAAAAGCCTCTGTAAAGCACGAGGGCCTATCAGTTTTCTATCCTAAAAGCTACAAGACCCCAGTAACGGCACTCCCATAGGCTTTCAGCGTTCGAAGAAGCACTAATAGCTAACGGACCCAGGGTTCCCTGATTGAGAGCTTTGCACGTTAAGTTCAACGGCTTTTGTTGAGATTTTAACTTGGTGCTCTTCTGGTTGGCTCTTAGATCTTTAACTATATGGACCATAATAAGGAGACTAAAAGTTTAACTTTTTGGAGTGGTTCAGAAGTCAGCCAAGTTAATTTTGTGTGTGGTAGGGCTTCTTCGGAAGTCATGTTTTGCCTACCGTCCCAAAGGAAGAACAGAGAATCAGGATCAGGGTTTACGAGGTTTGTATTTTTTGGCAGAGGGGTTGGGGTTCGGGGTTTGGGGTTTAAGGGTTGTTTTAGGACTTGGCGTTAGGATTTGCCTGAACTGCTCGTTTGGGGCCTGGGCTATGCAAGGGTTTGCGGCCCAAGCTGCGGGCGCAAAGTTTACGGTTCAGGGTTCAGAATTTCATACATAGACTTTTTTCGGCTTCTTGCTTTTAGTGCTGGACTTTGTTCTGTCGCTTGAAAGCCAATGCTCTACTAGTGTTTTTTGGTGAGCATCTAAGAATATAGAGAGCTTTTTGCGATCTTGCTAAGTGTGTATTTGCAGCGTACTTTCGTGAATACCAGTCGTGACATCACTGCTGGATAGCAGTTCTGGGTCATTGTTAGATACAATATTAAATATTACATTTGTGTAACCCTAAACCCTAAACCCTACACCCAAAAAGGATTAAAACATGATCATTTCAAATATAGCCGCAACAGGGAACCAGGGTTGGTCAGATAACAGTTTGTGAGCAACCCAGACCCCCGGAAGGATCTAAAAAGGTTGATTCCCCTAATTTGGGACCCTATACTACTAAGGGGTAGTTTCTAAGAACCTCCTAAACCCTAAACCCTAAACCCTAAACCCTAAACCCTAAACCCTAAACCCTAAACCCTAAACCCTAAACCCAAACCTCCTTAAGGGATCTACTTTCCTAGATCCTCCCAAAGGTCTGGGAAAGAAGTTCAGCTCCAGAGACTCCAATATCCCTTAATTAAGGAATATATCTTAAATCATATTAAGGATCCTACTATAATTTAAGGAAGATTCCTTAATTAAGGAATATTGGAGAAGTTCCGATCTCCTTCTGGGCCAACCTTACGAGGCAACGCCGCCACCGACAACACCGTCCATCCGCACATGAGGGCCGGGGACCTCTGCCTTTTTCGGGCTACTTCAGACCCAGTGTAACAGCAACAGGTGGCCTTTAGTTCCCTTCAGGATATGTACAAGTAAGTATACCCAGAGGGTCCATATACATTACCATTTTGGCTTGAGGGCCGGGGACCTAGTCACCCCTAGCACCTTAAACCCTACGCGTTTAGGGTTTAGAGTTTGCGGGTTTAGGGGCTTAGGATTTAGGCTTTAGGGGTTTAGGGTTTAGGGTTTTCTAAACCCTAAACTTGTAAACCCCTGACCCCCAAACCCCTAGGCCCTAAACCCTAAACCCCTAAACCCTAAACCCAGACGAGGTATGGAAGGGTTTCGATTGTTCCCAAGCCGTATACTCTAGGGGCGTAAAGGACTAGAACTATGGCTTTGGGGCTTATTTTTTTATAACCAAAATAAGGAACTCTAGGAATGATACTATTTTTTACAACAAAAACAAGGAACCCTAGGAATGATATTTATTTAGGCCCCTATACTATAAATCTACAATTAAGTCGAAGGGTGCTATGTCGTTTGCATAGAGGTCGTCGAGGGTTTGATTGTGTACAGTCCTCAGGAAACGTTGTTTTGCTTCTGCCGAGCTGAGGCGACCAGGATAAAACCCAGGCCAAACCCTAAACCCTAAACCCTAAACCTAAAACGCCTAAACCCCTACACCCTAAACCCTAAACCCCTACACCCTAAACCCCTAAGCCCCTAAACCCCGACACCCTACACCCAAAACCCCTAAACCCCTACACCCTAAACCCCTAAGCCCCTAAACCCCTACACCCTAAACCCCTGAGCCCTGGAGCTCTGAACGACTTCAAGCGACGTCGGGGTATGTCCTCGATTTGCAGTAGGATTTCTGAGGGTTTAGGGTTTAGGGGTTTGGGTTTAGGGGTTTAGGGGTTTAGGGGTTTAGGGTTTAGGGTTAATTCTAAATTCGAAACCCCAAAAAAGGGTTTCTTGAGGAAGGACCGTTACTCAGGGGATATTCTAAGAGAATGACCGAGAGGCCGCATAAACGGGGATAGGCAACCTAAACCCTATACCCTATACCCTAAACCCTATACCCTATACCCTAAACCCCAACCCCTAAACACAGGGGTCTGAGGGATCTGGGGTGTCTCGTCGGATCCACCCCCCAAAACGGGCGTCTGTTCCCCAAAAGGTTGCTGTTGTCTTCCGGGGCCGGACTTGTGGACGCAAAAACAAGTAAAGGTTCAATCACATGACCGACGGCTTAATTCAACAATTTACTTGCAACGCACTTCTACCCGGCCGTGAGAAGTTCCAGCAGCGAGAGGAGTTCCGGACAATGGGAGCCAGACTGGAGAGAGTGGAGGGCTGTCAAGAAGAGTTCCAGCAGTTCAGAGAGGAAATGTCCAAGAAAATCGATCACATGGAAAAGGAGCTCCGCGAAGTTCGCAGCAGGTCCGTGAGTCCTGCTCCTAGTAGGAACTTGGGAGGAGGCCTGCGAGCTGGCACAGGGCAGGCGCCCAGCCCAGCTCCGTCGTCGGCTGCAGGTTACGTGGTCGATGACTTCCAACTGGTTATCGGCGGTTACTCGGATGCGAAGAGGGAAGAGATTCAGGACGAAGTGCGCTCTCTCTCTTCCACGATGCGAGTGCTCTCCCCCTTCTCAAAAACATAATCACGCCATACGTGCGTTCCAACATGTGCAGGGTCGAGCTCTTGTACCTTGACGAGAGATTGCAAGCACGCAGACGAGTGCAGCAAGCAGTCATAGTCGGCATCCGCAGCCAGCTTGAGGCCCGGCAGAAGAGATCTGCCATTGCCGGCCAAGAGCGGGCCTCCCTGTGGATCTCCAGAAACAGGGGGGTAGAAGAGCGTAGCAGGATGAGGGCGCTGCTGGGCCTGAGGGGTTTCGGGCTGAGACATCTGAGGCCTAGTGAAGTCGACTTTGACTGGAAGGGCCGTGTATGGTTTCATGGGTCGCAGGTGCTCCACCACTGCGACCAGGTGGAGCCCTCTAGCAACGCGCTCATGTTCTTGAGTGCCCGAGGCGATAAGTCGAGGTGGTGGTGCTCAGTCCCCACCATCGCCCTAAACTCTAAACCCTAAACCTTCAACCCTTAACCCTAAATCGTAAACCCTAAACGCCAAACCCTAGCCGCACACCCTAGACCCAAAATCCACGCGCTCGGTGCAGCCCATCCAAGGATGCCCCCGGAAGCCCTGCAACAACTCCTTTATTTCTGAACCCAGCCAACCACCAGCAATTAAAGCCGGACCCCTTAACCCTCAGTCTTAAATCCGCAAACCCTAAGCCCTGAATCCCCAAACCCTGGAAGCCCAAAGCCCCACGTTAAAGTAGAACCAGGAAAGCCTTACGAACAAAAAAGCTAAATAAAAAGAGCACCTACAAAGACTGGAGGAGCCTGTGACCCTTCCGTTCCGCTTGAGTATCCAAGAGATATCGGAATCGTTACCTAGTGCTCCCGAAACCGTACAATAAACCCCACACGTATCTACAGCACCCTGTATCGCTACGCACGAACTTTCAGGTTGCGTCCAAACCCGCTTTGGGGTTAGAGTTTAGAGCACAGGGTTTAAGGAATCCTTCAACAAAGATGCAACGAGACCAGATCAAAGCATTTTCGAGTTTATCAAAACAAGGCACACACAGTTTCGCTGGTGGCCTCCGACGAGATACCGTTTGATGTCTTTTGGCCGATGGTGCGTCCGGGGCCAAGTGGTTGGTTTGTTCTGACTGGAACTCTGGCTCTTGCCCCGTCTTTGGACTATGGGCAGTTCTCTAAGTTAGGGTCCCCGCTTAAACCCTAAACCCAAAGCCCTGAACCCTAAACCCTACACCCCTAAACCCCAAACCCTAAAACCCTAAACCGCTAAACCCTAAACCCCTAAGCCCGAACCCCTAAACCCCTAAACGGCTAAACCCTATACGTTGTTCTTCATAGGGTTTCGGGCTCTGCACTTTTTTTACGGCTTGAAGGGATCTCCGAAACTCGTATTTCTTGCTTCCCCTACCAAAAGGATCAGGGTTCAGGGATTCCTGACTAGGGTTTTTTAGGGTGTAGGGTTTTAGGGGTTTAGGGTTTCGGGGTTTAGGGTTTAGGGGTTTAGGGTTTAGGGGTTTAGGGTTTAGGGGTTTAGGGTTGAGGGTTTTGCGTTTCCCTAAGCCTTAAACCCCTAAGCCCTAAACCCTAAGTCCTGAACCCTGAACCTTAAACCCCTGAACCCTAAACCCCTAAACCCTAAATGCCCTAAATGTACGGTTTGGGGTTCACGGACTCACCAAGCCAAAACAGCCGAACGCACCCCAAGCCTCCGAACCCCAAGCTACCAGGACGAGGCCCCAAAGAAGACCAACACGACCCAAATGCTGAACCCTATACCCGAAACATCCCGATGCCCCAAGCCCTTTAAACCGCAAACCCTAAACCTTAAACACCCTAAAGCCCGTAAGCGTTTTTGTACCCATCTGGTGCACTTGCAATAACAATACCCTAAACCTTAAACACTCTAAAACCCCCTTAACAGTCCTCAACAACCTCAAACCCTAAACCCCAAACCTAAAACCCCTAACAGACCTCAGCAATGAGGCGACGACATTCTTGGCGCTGTTCGTGAGGCCATGATTGCTGCCCCAACTCAGCGCGCTTTTGGGGCTTAGGGCTTTGAGGGTTTAGGACTGGGTTTAGGGCTTAGAGGGTTTAGGGCTTAGGGTTAAGTAAATGGGTTTCGGGCTTAGGGTTTACTGGTCTGGGGTTTGGGGCTTTTAGTCTAGGGATCTGGAGTTTAGGCCTTTTAGGGCGTAGGGCCTAGAGTTTAGGGCGGTTAGGCTTTAGGGATGTCATGGTTCAGCCTCCATGCCGGGGCAGGGTATCTGGAATCAAATTACACCCTAACACCAAATCCCTAAGTCGCACTAAATCTCAATCCACTGTCCCAGAACTTAAATCAAGCCCTGGTCCTGAACCCTCAGGGTTTAGGTTCAGGGTTTAGGGTTTCGGATTTAGGGTAATTTGTAAACCTGCCTTGACAGACGTATTTCTTCTGATAAACGTCTTGTCCTACAATCCAAGAGCCGACAAAAGTTCCGGAAGCCCCCGAACAAAGCCTTGTGAAGCTGGAACAGTTTCCTGTCTAATCTCATGAAGCCTTCAAACCTTGAATTAAAGGAAACTACAGGTGGGTATATAGGGCTTCTATAAGGCTTCCATAAGGCATATAGACCTTCTATAAGGCTCCTAGAACGGAAACTACCCAACTGAAATGTGCTAGACTAAACCCTAAACCCTAATCCCTGAACCCTAAACCCTAAACCCTAAACGCTAAACCCTGAACCGGAAGCCCTCAGCCCCAAGGCCGTAGACCCCTAAGCCCCCATCAGCCAGGCTTGTCCCCGTGGCCACCACTCGGCCGAGAGCGCAATCCAGGCCGTTCCGGTTCTCTCTGTCGGTTTAGGGTTTAGGGTTTAGGGTTCAGAGTTTAGGGTTTAGGGTTTAGGGTTGTGTGATTTCTGTGTGCGCTGTGTGTGCATGCTGTTTTGTCGTGTTTTAAAATGCGTTTCTTTACTGCTCGAGTGTTCTCACCTCTCTGTGTTTCGACCTTGGGGGTCTCGAGGTTCGGGATATAAGGCCACTGGGTTCAGGGTTCGTTGTTGTTTCTTTCGCCCTCTCGCTCCCTGTTTTTCTTTCTCTTCTCACACATGTAGCCGGCGATACTGGTTTGGGGTCGAGTACCCTAAACCCAAAACCCTACGCCCTAAACCGTCCATAGCAAGCTCCCTAGACCCCCTGGAGCCTTAACCCTAACTGCCAAAACTCCAGCTCGCAGTTCCAGACCCCTAAACCCCTAAACCCTAGACCCCTAAACCCTAAACCTTGAACCCTAAACCTCTAAACCCTAAACCCCGAAACCCTACCCTAAACCCTAAACCCTGAACCAAGCTCCTAAACTCCTAAACCTTGGGGACCCAAAGACCCTGAGCCCCTAACTATTCCTAAACCTCAAATGGGGTTTAGGGTTTAGGGTTTTGGGTTTTGGGTTTTGGGTTTGGGGGTTTGGGGGTTTAGGGGTTTAGGGTTTTGGGGTTTAGGGTTAAGGGTAAGCCCCAAGTTCGTACACTCCAGAACCCAAAGCCCAACTCCCCAACATTCAAAAAAGTTTAGGGTTTAGGGTTTAAGTATAGACTCCCCAAATCGAAGCCCACTGCCCCCCAACTCCACCCCCCCCTTCTTCCAAAAAACAGAACCAAACCCCAAACCCTGAGCCCTAAATCCTAAACTCCAACCCCTAATCCCTGAGCCCCAAAACGCAAGCCACTTCTTCGAGGAGCCCTGCAAGGACCCCTAAAGACAACTCCTGAACCCGAGCTCCCAAACCCTAAACTCTGAACCCCAAGACCCCAAACCCTAGCACCAAGCCCAAAGCTCCAAAAGACAAGGCTAGTCTAGGGCTCCCCAAACCCTAAACCCAAACCCTAAACCCCTAAACCCTAAACCGAAAAAAGACCCCTACAAGGAGCCCTCGAAAGAACCGTAAAAGGAGCCTCGAAACCCGAAAAAGAACCCTACAACGAGCCCTTTGAAGAAGAGTAAGGGGAACCCCAAAGCCCTCCTTTAAGGGTTTAGGGCGTAGGGTTTAAAGATT